GGGTTATAAAAGGGAGACTTTTTCCACAATCATGGCAGATAGGGCCTCTTTTTTGCCTAAATTACCTTTTATATTTCAGCATTTAACCTGAGAGTGCTAAACTATGTTAAGTACTATTCACAGTACAGGTCCCTCGGTTCTGAGCAGGGATTTTTAAATGTGTGGCACCATCAAGAGGCAACAGCTTGCACTGCCACTGTAGTAAGAACCTGGATAGGGTTTGCTTTCCAATACAGAAGAACCTGCTTTTAACAGTAACTGTCACAGACTATTGTACCCCAGAATTACACTAAGATTTTAGCCTGTTTCACTAATGTGAAGTCACTAAATTGTCGCTAAACACCACTTTTTCCTTTCTTATCCCCCTCCCAGCCCTCCAAGTGAAAAAAAAAAGTGTTAATTTTTTATTCTAGGTTAACTGGGGACAGTTGACAATCCTAATTTGCTACTGATTATTTCAATACTTACTGAATTGAAATACTTACATATATGCCAACAATTTTCTATTTAAAAGATAAAGTCATTATTCTCTAGTGACTCAACGCGATCTGACCAGAGATAGCGGTCTCTTTTATAGTACCCACAGTTATATATTTACTTGTATTTTATTAGAAATTAAAGAAGTCGGCTTAGAGATTGGATGACTTAGTTATGCAGTCAATAGCATCACCAACTTAATCCTGTGCTGTGCAATACATTCTAACTAATTTCACTTTTTCCTCCCATTTTTCTTCACATAAGAAAATTTTAGATTATGTGGTTCACATTGATGGCTCCCATTGCTAGTATATTTCTGAGCTAGACTCTATAAACCATCCAAACAAGGCATAAAAGTGAAAGAAGGCAAGGGATCCCAAAGAACTGGCTGGCTGCTTTAAACATCAGAGCTACGTAAAGCAAACTCCACAGAAACAAGGCAGGCGCTGCTAAATGTGGAGATGAAATCATGTAATGTAATCATGGACACTCTGACTCAGAATACAGGAAGAGATTCATAATACCTTAATATCACTTTAAAAAGTTTGAGCCACCAAGTTTATTTGGTTAGGAAAACCAGACTCTCGCCCCATGTGCAGTTTAACTGGCTCACTTCCCACTAGTGCAAACATTTTTTTTTTTTAATTAAAACTACAGTCAGGATGTAGCTAGAGGAAGGGCCACATCAGGAAGCAGATGCCTTTCAAGTCAGACGAGAGGACAAAAGAGTTTTCAATACCTAAGCTTGCCTTCAGATCCCAAACACATTCTACTTCAAAAAAAAAAAAAAAAATGAATACTATGGCTGTGTCATTGTCTTAACATTGTCCATTCTAAAACCAACCAAGAAATGCTGTCAAGTTTGCAATACAGAAAGATCTGAATGCCCAACATTCTTTTTGGGGTCAGGAGCCACTGAAGTGGATGCAGCAAGAAGCAGGTAGAAAAGCAACACACAGCTACAGGTAGAGAAACTTGCACCTGTTTTCCTCTCTGGTCTTTAAAAATAGTACCTGTGTCTTATCACCTTAAGATTAAACAACATATACATTTATGTTATAAAACTCCATATCTCCTTAAATATGCTCAATGACACTTTTACTTAATTTTGTAAACATTAGAGACCTATGATCTATTCAACAGTACACAGCCTTGGTTTTTGTATGATTCCGGAGAGCACCAATTCTTATAAAGACTTTTATATAAACATTTCAAAACAAAGAAAAATAACTCATTTTCACATTTTCATTTTTAATTGAAAACGGGAAAGGAATTTCTCATTCCTGGAAATCAAATGTATGGGCTTGTGCTAATTTAGTTGCGTCTTTTGTATAGAGCTTCACTATTACCTGGAACTTGGTGCACAAACTTAAGGTTGAAATGTCTGAAAACTAAAGTTACAACCTGCAGCACAGAATAAGGAAAGTCACAATAAGTGTCATGAATGAGTCAAAAACATTCATTCACTCTTCTCTAAATCCTGTATGCAATGCTGCCCTCATCTTCTGGCCTGGGGTTGGATGTACAGCGATGAGTAAGACAGACATAGTCCCTACCTCGGGCAACTTAAAAGGTTTTAGTCATACACCGATTTCAGAGGAGCTATGGAAAACACCTTCCGAACAATGGAGAATTGTCTCAGACATTTCACCTGTTCAAATAATAACCACCATGGAGATATTAACGTGCACTTGAAAGAAAGCCGACTTTATCTTCAAAACGGTAGAGCATATAAAACGTTGAAAACCATATTCCATGAGGAGAGCCGGCATCAGATTGCAACATGTTTGAGAAATAAATACCAAGTCTGGTCTTACATATTATAGTTCTGAGCAGCGACAATACTGTGTATCAGGGCACCGCAAAGGACTGCCGTCAACCAGACAGAAAATATTGGGTTGCTCTACAAAGCAGTTTGTGGGAGTACATCGGTTCTCCACAATAGCACACAGATGCTTTTGGTAATGGAAGCAAATGAATACTCTTAGCAACAGCAGGGTTTTCTTTCAGATTATTTTCCTTTTTTTTCTTCTTTTTAAAAGTACTTCACTGCTCCAGACCATAACAAATACAAGATAGCCATCACTATCTCTGAATTATGGGGAGGATATCAAATGAGATGAATAAAAGAATATCCTGTCTACTTTATGATTTCTCTATCCTCTGGAACATCTGTTTGTCAAAGGATCAGCATCCCAGCCCACTGGAGATCCTTTATGCATTACTCCTAATTGGAAAATAATGCCCAAGTAGGAAGTTTAAATGACCACTGACCAGTCCTAAAGGACAGCATGAGTGTGATAACTGACATGCACACACTTCATGCACACTGGACCCAATCAAGGCCTCACTTATATCTAGTAACGCTTCATTTGGACTACTTTAAAATAAGACTTGATATCTGATTTCTCAAATCATAAAAAAAGAAAAAGTTGGCATAATAAAAGCAAGGTTTGGCAGCTGAGAGCAAGAAAGAAGAAAAATTATAAAAAGCCAAACATCTCAAATAGCACAGCAGTTGGAAGCTGTGTGCTATAGACTCCAGGAAATTTATTATGCCCCATTAACAGGTCCTCAGAGGTTCATAATTAAGGTTCAATCTTTAAGACTCAATTAAAAGTAAAGAAAAAACACACAGATGAAACACTGCTATAATCAAAGCTAAGTAAAAAAAAAAAAAGGCTGAAATTAGATTCGTGAGCTGGCTCTCTGCTGCTTGGTTTCCCCATTAATGAGTTCAATAAATCTTTGGCATCTATTCATTCTGCATTTGTGTAAGGGTTGTGTTTATTTTTTGAAAACTATGCTTTGACAATTTGGAAGTCCCAGTGAAAAGTCCAAGTGGACTGCATCGCTCAGGAAGTATATACCTCATGAACTGGACGCCCAGGCACGGCTTGCCTTTGGCTCCTGGAGCATATCCCAAAAGGCAGCGGATCCTGACCTTCATCGCCTCGATAGTCTCTGTTTTCCTACCCTGTGCTTTTTTTTTTGTCTCTGGTTCTCAGCCAAGTTTGATTGGGGTTTTAGTTCGCAAACCACCTATAGTTACTGTCCCCATTGGTGGCAGCAATGACTGGGAATCTGGTTTTGTGGTCTGACCACTTGGTGATCTGTCCGGTAGAACTGGAATCTAGTCCTGCTCAGGTGAAAGATGACTGGACATTTGTTTATTGTTGGCTTTAACTTGTTTGCTATTTTTCTATCTGTGAGTTCAAATCAGGACAATATTTTGTGCCCAGTGGAAAAGCCATTAGTCTTGCCCCAGTGTTTACTTTTGATCTGTAGCAGAGGCCATTGAACTATGCTCTAAGTTCTTTATTTGTCTCTGTTCTGTATCTGAGAGGGGTGGGGGGGCAGACTCATTTGTGTGGGTGAAATATTTTCCTACCTCCTGAGGACAATAATAAATTAAAATATAAAGACCTCTGTTTCTGATTAGTTTATAGAGAGTAATAGCATTTAAATAAATCTTACATTTTTCAAATTCTAGAAAATAAAATTCAGAGAATTTTGATGTGTTTCTTTTTAAGAAAAAGACATTTCTCATCAAAATTACTGACTTCATAAATATGTTTTCCCCATTATAATCAATGCATAGGTTACATTTGTACTGTCCTATAGGGCATTAACATGTTTGGTATATAAATCAGAAATCCTATTCCAGCCTACTTCCTTCCAGTAACTAAAACACTTTTGGTACTCCTATACTTTTGTAAACCAGCTTTACAAAAGCTGTTGCTTCCCTCATTAAAGAAATATAGGATTCACCATTAATTAATTAACATAATCTGTGACAGCTGCTGGTCTAAAAGAACAAAGAATAAAAAATACAGTAGTTTGTCCTCATTCAGTATGGAATTCTCAAGGAATGTTTACTCCTTTCTCATTATTTTCAGTATTTTTCCAAATAAGCATAAACACAATTTAAATAAAAAAGAACAAGTTAAAAAAATTTGAGTATATGTAGTCACTATATATACTAAGAGACATGGCTGAAGGGAGTGTGAAGTATGTGTGTGGGTGAACAGTCAGAAAAAAAGGTTAAGCACTATTTAGACAACCTTTCAGTTTTCCAGACAACTTACTATACAGAATCCTGCCTAAATCCTGATGCGTTCCAGTTTCACTGATTATTTCTATGATACCATATATACACAAATTCGATGATATGCGCGTAATAAAACTTGATGTTTCTTGCCAGTCCTAAAGATTAAAATTTTGTAAGACATAAGAAACTCAGTAAAATTCACAGCTACCTTTGGTAGTGTCTCATCACTTTATACCTGTGAGAACTCTGCAGAGCAACTTAACATGATATTAGGAACATGTGGGCCTTCCAAAGACCCACAGAGGACTAATACCAGTGACCCAGGAAGAGGAGAGAGAGAGAGTGGGAGAAATTCTAAGAAGGGACAGCAGTGACGTGTGCACATGGACATTCTACGTGCCCACACAAATCCTTGGAGTTTTTCCTCCAAGAAGCTGTTCAATGAAACAATGAGGTCAGGTCAGGTTATTACCAATCGCTCCATCTCCTGCTCCCGGAGCCTCTCCTCCCTCTGCCGCCGGTGGTAATCCATCAGGTCCTCTCGCCCAGAGATGGAACTGATGCTGCTTTTCCGTTCCCGAAGGACGGGCTGGGGCGTTCCCGAGGCCTGCCTGAGGCTCTCCAAATCCGCATCGTCCAGCTCCACCGACCCGCAGGAGAAGTTCCTCCTGGCCAGGAACGCTCTGTCTGGCTCTCCGGGAGCAAACGAATGGCTGGAACTGGCCCCCGAGTAGGAAGCCCTCTCGAGGTCATCAGAGGCACAGGAGGAGGTGGAGGCCAGGAGCATCTTCCGGGCCAGGCGAGGGCTGCCGGGGACACTGAGGGTGGAACTTACGTAAGGACTGCCCTCGGACACAGAGGACTTATAGGGCAAAGCACCTGAGCTCAAGGAAGAAAAATTCAGGTAATTGTCGTGGTCTGTGATGCTGTGAGGTAGATCCTTATCCCCCGGCTGCCTGGCCCGTTTGGAGTTGCCCAGAGAGTTCCTCGGAGGCAACGACAGCGGCTTCAGCTGGTTCTCCGTGGCCCTGTGCAGCCTGGGAAGCGACCGGCTGTAGGCACCCATGTGGCTCAGGCTGCTGCTGCCCGAATACTTCCTAGTTCTCACACCGGTGTTTTCCGACGCAGCTGCCGGCTCCCTGTGTCTGGCCAGCTTGGGCTGCAGGGTCAGGCTGTCCTGGATGCTCATCTTTCTGGCTTGTTTTGGGCTCGAGGGCATGCTGGCCGCCCCCGATCTGCTGATGGGCGAGGGGCCCGTGTCGTTCCCATTCCACATGGCCAGGAGGGAGCCGGACGCCTTGCGGCTCTCCAGCCCTCCCAGAAAGTAGACGTTGTCGTGGGATTTGTTTCGGGAGCTGTGCTTGGAATAGGGAGGCTTCTCCGAGAGCCTCAAGGACCTCTCGCTGTCCCGGCCTGTGTAGTGATCAAAGTCCGCTCTCCCACGGGGATAGCCACTGACGGAGGGCGAAGCGCTGCGGGAAGGCGTGGGGGGTTTGGTGGAGATGCTTTTGTCAGCTCCATCGCAAGAGAATGACTTGCTCCCCTGGATTTTGGCCAAGGAGGGGCTGCTTCTGACACTGGTTCCCAGAGGGGAAGGGCTTCTCTTCACAGGCACAGGCTGAGAGAGGGTCAGGTAGGAGCCGGAATAGTCTCCGTTGGCCTTAAATCTCAGGCTGGAGGAATACTTCTTCGGGCTCAAGCTCTCCATCATGGTCTGGGGATCGTGCTCAAGGGAGTGTGCCACCAGGCGTGCCTCTACGCTACCATTCTGGAAGTCCGGCTGTTGTTGCCCGTGGCTAGGCTCTGCCATAATGTTGCTGGAATCTATAAAAGAAAAAAAAAAAAAAAATAGAGTGTAAGTTTTACTTCAAGAGGGTTTAAAAAAGACCAAGTACTTACCAGCCCGCCTCTGAACAAATAGCCTTGCGGCCTGACATAATGTCATTAACACGCAGTCCTTGTTTTAGTAACAGACCTGACAAACGTGTGCTGCAAAATGAAGGAGGATGAGGACCCCTCATCTGGGGTGTTTTTTTTGTTCAAAAGAAAAAAAATTAATTCAAAAGGATATCAGTGATATTTGAGAGGAACAAATCCCTAAGTGCAGGGGGAGGATTAGGCTGGTACATTAAAAAAAAAAAAAAAAAAAAGCCCATTTCCCTTCAGGGTTCTGGTCCCGGGCAGACCACCTGCTTCCTGAGCACCTAGCAAACACCCAAAGGGATGACGCAATGGGCCTTCCTTACATATCTCTGCTAGAATCCTTAACTGCTCAGAAAACTCATAAGGTCCTGAGAAAACAAAATTCACATTTTGGCTGAGAAAGAACATTTTATGTTAGACGCTGAAAAAAAAAAAAAAAAAAAAAAAGACAAAAAACAAACAAAAAACCCCATAAGGTTAAAAGATGGTTCTTTAAGAGGGGTTTCAACTACCTTCTCAACAAAGAGACTTAATACAGCTCCTGCACCACCAGGAAAAGGCAAGTAATGGAAGAGTGTTTCCCAAATTACCAGGAAAAGAGTGAATAGAATACTTAAAAACCTGAAACTGACTTATCTCTCAAGCTCCTGGTACCCCAAATGCACCATGGGAAACTCCCTCCTCTCTCAGAAACACCTTTCTCCCTCTTTTGCACCTTTTGAACCCACCCATTCCTCAAGACTCCGGTTAGGATTCTACCTTTCATGCTTACAACATATGGACACAATATTAACTTAAGAAACTAAAGTTTCAGTCTATAAAACTATATTTTAATTATCACTGCAGCCCTAGCCTTTTTGGCTCAGGGATAGAGAGTCAACCTGTAGACTGGAGGGTTTCAGGTTTGATTCTGGTTAAGGGCAGAGATACCTTGGTTACAGGCTCTATCCCTGGACCCAGTTGGGGTGCATGCAGGAGGCAACCAATCGAGGTGTCTCTCTCACATAGATGTTTCTCTCTGTCTCTCCCCACCCCTTCTACTTTCTCTAAAAAACCATGGAAAAATATCTTCCAGTGAGAATTTACAATAAAAACCAATAAAGGTTAAATCCTTGATAAATGCTGTTTTAAAAATAAATCAATACATACATAAATAAAAATTTAAAACATTTCAAAAATAAAAATTATCACTGCAAAGGGGAAGGTTTATACATCTAAGTGATAAAAAAAATTATCTTCAGATCATCATCAAAGGGGACACACAGACATTCTCATTGAACTCATGCACTGCTAACATAAGATGGGCCTCCAACTCTTCAGGCATCTCAACCCTAGTTATTATATCTCTGGTCTCTGTTGCGTATGGTTAGAAATCAGTTTCATAATGTGCTTGTTTCTGTCACAAGGCCACAAGATTCAGGAAGAGGGATGTCTGGTATTTCTATCTTATCTGCATCCTTTCCTGACTCCCGCTGTTTCATGGGTGAGACACTCGATGAACCTAAGTTTTTAATTTCGTCACAGCCTTCCCCACTCCCTCCCAGCCACAGATTGAGGGAACTTCATCTTGCCTGCTCAGCTTCACAGACTTCCCAGGCAAGTTCAGGCAGCCTAATAAGGAATTGCTTTTATCCACAGAGTGGGGCCAACAAACAGTCTGGCTGCTTAAATCCTAGTGCTGGGCTTAGTATCCATCTGCCATAAAGCTGTAGCTTCCCCCAACAAGCTCTGCCTTGGGTTCCTTATCTTCCAACCAAAAGCCCTGCCCTGATGTATAAACCTATGATTATCTTTTAAAGTAGCCTCACAAAAATAAACAAAATTGGAATTCTTCTTCAGAATTGCCACCCAGCTGGAACCTGGCCCTGCCTCTGGCTCTTGCCAGGTCTTCTGTTTCTCAGGAACAGTGCTATCTCTGCACCCAAGACAAATGTCCCTATGTCCCTCTCAGCAGCTGTCTATCATCATCCTGACCTTGAAAGCAACAGCAGCCTGGTCTGAGACATATCTCACTATGTCTCCTTGGAGGACTGAAACCAAGATGACCTCTAGGCTTGGTCCCTTCTGTTCCCATCTTGGTTGGTTTGCCATACTGAAATTCCAGCAAACCTTGGCCAATTCCCTCAAGTTAAATATTTTATAATTGAGGACATAAGAAAATAGGTGGATACTGAGGATATTTTTGGGGTGTGCAGGGTGACTTTCTCCATTATTTCCTGAGTCCTCTATCACTTATCTATCATCTCCTTCCTCATTTTATCCATCACTAAGTCCTACCAACATTGCTCCTCAAACATATTCTCATCCGATAATTTCTCACCATTCCAACTGCTCCCTATGGCAAGCCAATATCTTCTACTAGAGGCCCCGTACATGAATTCGTGCACAGGTGGGATCCAACCGTCCCACTCTGATCAGGGCAGATTGGGGCGGGCCAGCCAGGGGGAGGGGCCCTGGGCGGTTGGTAGGCTGGCTGCACCCCCTGGTTTAACTCTGGTCAAACTCTGGGTCAAGGGGGCGCTTTTTGCCTATTACCCTTTTATTATATAGGATTACCTTGTCTATATGCCTTTTCTCCTGCAAAAAGAATAACCATAGACGGAATCACAACAACAAATTAGCAGTGGTTTTATCTGGATGGTGATTTTTAATTCATCTTTCTTTTTTCTTTTTCACATTTTAAATAATGCATTTGGATTACTTTACAAAGTAGGGAAAAAAACCCCACTTAGTATAAAATACTAGAATACAAACTATAGTTAGATTTCATTTTTAAGTTAATTAGACCCATTTTTCCTAAGCTCCTGATCAATTTTTGAGCCAGATATTAGCTCTTCCAAAAAAAGTTTATTTTAAAGAATTTTTTTATTAGACTAACTTAATACACAAATATTTGAAGACTTCTACAGGATTCATCTTTTTCCGAACTCTTCTAAATGACTCAGGCAAAAATGTTAATTATGAAAATGCACCCATTTCATATTTTATGCATCTGAAAACTACAAAATGAAATATAATACCTTCCCTAATATGAAAAAGTGAACAAAGCATTATTTTTAAAAGTCTCCAGATGTTTGTCGAACATAGCTTAGACAATAATATTATCTTCATTTTAAAATAATGTAGTTAGTAGGATATTTCATGATTTCAAGTGCTTCAGCTTACTGTATAGAAAAAAAAATCTTAACGGGTATTTGTAAGTAGTTCATTAAGTAGGTATTAAGTGCCAACCACATATCAGACTTTGAATTAGCAGGCATTAGTGTAGCCACTAATATTCCTGTTCTCCACCTTCCAAAAACAGAGCAATGTTGCTCTTCCTCATTCCCGTGACCCTTCCTTAGAGCAATCAAATATGAGAGAAAGTGACATGTCAACTACAAGTTGAACTGTCAAGGGCCAGAGCATGACTCATCATTTCCGTCTTCCTGCTGAGATGACTAGCATGCATTCAAGCTTGTGGAGGATTCATGAGCCCACACTCTACAACGAGGACACCATAGAGCGGGGCCCCTGCCAACCCTAGACTGTCTTAAGCCACAGAGATTTGGGAGTTGTTACTAGGGAGGTGTTAATCTTCATTAAGTGCCTACCATAAACCAGGCTCGGAGCAAGGCATGGAAGGTATGTGGTCAAACACACCCTTTCCTGCCTTTACACAGCGTACAGTCCTAGGGGGAAGACACACAAATGCTGGAACAGTGTGATACACGTGTCAATAGAGGATTGATTGACAAAGTGGTAAAGGGGCATAGAGGGAAGCTAACCCAAGAGAGAGTGGTAGTCTGGGGAAATTTTGATAAGAAGAAATGACAATGTGTTAAATCCCATAGGAAGAAGGGGAGTCTGATGGCTATTATCCAATGGTAGCATAAAGCCACATCCACACCTAAAATGTTGTGATTTTAAGGATATAAACTAAATCCCATGCCCATTTGGGACCAGACTACTGGTCCATCCAGCAACATCATATCTCTGACAGAACAAAAATTATATGGGAAAACAGCAACAGTTATTTTATATATCATGATCCTTAAAAATCTAGGATGTAACACTCTTGGGATAAACAATATTTAATAGCCATGTATTTCCCTCTCCTAGTTAATCCTTTCCCATCTCCACCACTGTATAAGACAAGCTGTCTGAGAGCTAAAGCATATGCCTGGCCCATGGATGACTTAAATTAGACAGCATCCTCTAACCATTTAGGATATTTTAGACAAGGATAGAAAAGGAAATCCATAATAAGGTGTTAGAATACACAAGAAAATAATTGAAGCCAGTTAGTGGGGAAGACTTTGGTTTTAAGATAATGTATACAAAATGGGAAACAGAACTGAGTTAGAGAGAAAAGGCATTTCCACAATGTGCAGAGACAGCAATCCAGGAAGCAAGGCAGAGCAGATGTTATGAAATAGAAGTCAAAGCCAAGCACGAAGACAAAACTGCATTATAAATATTTACTCTTAACAGCAGAGTTGAAGGATTTAACACCTCATGTCAAAATGGATAGTTAAGTTTAATTTTTGACTCAGAAATATAAGATATTGATGTCATTTTTAAAATCTTTGCCTGAGAATATGCTTAGAGAGAGAAGAGAGAAATATCAATGTGAGAGAGATACATTGATCAGTTGCCTTCCAACTGGGAGTTAAACCCACAACCCAGGTATGTGCCCTGACCAGGAATCGAACTGGCAGCCTTTCCGCTCACAGGACAATGCTCAACCAACAGCGCCATAGTGGCTAGGCATGATGTCATTTAAGATGACAAAACTGTATTAATATATTTCAAGCTGTTTGCAGTTGTAAATGCTACTTAAATATTACCAAGTTAAATATTATCAAACTCTGTTCCCTCTTTTATTTGGGGCCAATAAAACTGTAGAGTATCAAACTACT